TTGTGAGATTTCCAAAATATTATTTTATTTTGCTATATACAGAAAAACATTGAAAACTTATGGCAGATTTTCTGAATCAGCAAACAAAGCCTCTACATTAAGGAGAAGTACACATTCACAGAGCAATGAGGGCCATTGGATTTTCTATGAACTGACTGGAGTAGAAAACATAGCACTTCCATAGGATGATTAAAAGAAAAAAAGAAAAAAGAAAAAACAGGAGTTTTGCTTCATGCTGCTGTATAGAACCCTGTGTGGTCAGGGGTAATGAGCTGTGTGCCAATCCTCCACGCAGGCTGAGGAGCGTGAGAGCTTGTCACGTGGAGTCTGTTGTTGGCAGTGTACTTGTGCTAGGTATCTTCTACTTTCCAGGTCCACTCTCCCAGACTCTGCACTCTTGCAGAGTTTTGGCCCACATTTTCTGGCCTAAAAACATGGCATAAAGTGGCTTCCAGTCCTCTGACTTCTCCTTGGGCTTGGCCAATGGAGCGGTTGGTGGGGGACCACAGAGCTGAAGAGGGTCAGGGTATTCAGACCTCTCCCTGGCCCCTGGTCCTTCCAGGGAGGCCACTGCTCCTGCCGGGCTCCTGTTAGCCAGTGCTTCCCGTCTGTCTCAGCCTCCCTCTGGAGCTCTGGCTTTCCCAGTAGCTTCCCCAACCCTTGCGCCTTCAGGAATAGGGCTGTAAAAACCTCTGACTATGCCCAGTCTGAGACTACTGCTTCATCTCTGTCGCTTTTCCTAAACCTTGCCCACACCTTTGTAAACAGTCTCGAATAAACTGTCAATCAAATCACCCAATTTGAGTGTTAACTGATTCCTAACAGGACCCTGCTTGATATAGTTAGTATCTGCAATTAAAAGAAAATAAGGCTAAGTGCATTTGTACTTCACAAAAGGAAAAAAGTGACCTAAGATGGTTAAGAAAAATTTGTTATTCAACTTTGAGATGAAAAGTTTAACCCTATGTTAACTCTGTGATTCAATGACTCTATAATACCTACCCTTTCTAGCTTTTTGTTTTAAAGATTTTGAGCAAGTTATTCACCCTTATATAAACTCAGTAGATACAGGACAGTGTATTAAAAGAGGGATAGAACACTGGTTATCTATTTCTCATGAGAAAAACTGCTTTTGCCATAGACTTAAAGATAGACATTTTTCTCTCAAATTTCCCTTGTATTGTTCACAGAACACCTTTTCACTTTGTTGTATGACTGGGTTTTTTTCTTAGTCCCAAGCTTCACGAGCTAATCCAGTTCACTGCACCCAGTAATTTCTGGTCTGCTCCACAGGACAGTGGCAAGGACTCATCACGTGTTGACTAACCATTTAAGGACATGAGGAGTCCACTAAAAATTTTCTTCTGAAAAAGCAAGAGTGCCCACTGAAACATTTCTTCTGAAAAAGTGAGAACATCCACAAGCTTATTTCAATAGCAAGCTCCTGTATTCAGAGGGGAAAAGACAACCCTGAGAAGGACATGGGGTTGCCACCCAGATGGTATCTAGCCCAATTCCAAGGAAAAGGTTGGGGGTGGACTCTCTTTTCACTCAAAATTGCAGTGAGGCATTCCAAACACAACGCAGACTTGCATCGATAATAAGGTAGAAAGCCCAGCATAAGAGACAGGAGTAAGTGATTCTCCCTCATCTGAGCACAGCCATTTAGGCACAACAATGAGTTCACACGGGGGCCTTTTTGAATAGTGGAGGTCAACCCCAGCACCTGTGACAGTCCCTGAGTGACAGCTCTGGCAGGTTCTGGTGCTCCTCTCAACTGGCACATCACCAAGGCACCAAGAGTTCAGAGATTGGCAGCAGAACCTCCCTTGATGGTGGGCACAATGTCATCAAAATGGCATCAGAGGCTCTGATGGGAGCCAAAGGCTTTGGCTGCCAGCGTAGTCACAGTGTCAGCGGCTACAGATGATGCTGATGGCTTTGGAGGCGGCAAAAGAGAGTATCCTTGGCAGTGGCACCAGCAGCGGTGGCAAGCTACCCTCACCTGGCTAGGAGGATTCAGGAAGCAGGAGCTTAAGGGGACAGCTTCTCTGATACCAGCTTTTTTCCTTTTTATCCTTGAACAAAAGTGAGTTTACAGTATTCAGTGATATCTTCAAGTCCTCAGAAAAAAGTATCATTGAATGATAAATTCTGAATAGAGGGAAATCCAAGCAGCAACAAGTCCAAAGTGGCCGAGGGCAGCGTAAGGACAGTGTGACATGAAGAAAAACACCATCTCTTTCTGTCTCTGCCAAGAACTTGGCTTAGATGTCAACAGCTCAGAATTGCTATTGCACAACTGAAACATGAATGCTAGAGTCTTGACCTCCTGTTCCACTAATTTAATGAATAATACACCCTGAGAAAAATAAAAGCACTGAAGGTATAAAAGCATAAGACTTCAAGTACCTCGAAATATTTCATAATGAATTTTTCTGTCTCTGTGATTCCTACAGAGTGGCAAATTTTGTGTGCTTCCCTAAAGCAGGAAAATCAGTGAAAATACAACAGAATGTGTTGTTATAAACCACATGCTTCTAAGTCTCCAGTTTTCTCAACAACAGAGTTTAAGACAATAACAAGGAAAATGTTAATGTCCTCAAGATTAGCAATAAATGACAAGGCTAGTACACGCTAGCATTGAGTAATGGGCAAAAAACAAGTTTCCTGAGGCATGGCATATCTTATTCTTCTTTGATACTCCCCCCGTCCCCAGCCCCCACCACCACAAAGTGTATCCACAGAGTAATGAGCCCCTACAAGGCTCTCAAGAAACCGAGCACCAGACCTAGGAGCACGGTAATTAAGCCATAGTACTGCCACTCATGGGAACTGGCCGGGACCTAGATGCCATCTCCAAACAGCCACCCTCTCTCTGCGGCATGTCGTCATTGTGCCATCAGAGCCCACCTAGGACAGCTATCATTATTCACCTCTTCCTCCTCCATTTCCCCATCTCACACAAAACCTTAGAGATCTCTGAGAGCATATTTCATTATATTAAAAAAAAAAAAAAAAGACTGAGAAAGCCACAGACAAGGTAAATTATGGTGTTCCTCTGAGCTTCTGGAAATGGAAGACAGAAGTGACAACTAGAAGGATAAATGCCCCTAAAATATTACTGACCTGTATTTCCTTCTCTACTCAGCAAATTACAGGGAAGAATGCCCAGATACACTGGTAGGGATGAGAGTAAGATCACCAATGCAAGTTAGGAATAAGAACTCACAGGATTCTGGTTTTTCATAAAAGGCAAACTTCAACACTTTTAATTGTTCAAACTGGGCCATATCATGAGACAAATTATTTGGTATGTGATTTCATACCAAAATCAAAAGTATTCTAATTCTGGAAATTCAAACGGAGGCAAGAAGTATATGGAACAGGTATATACATACTCACTAAGGATATGGGTAGTTTTCATTCTGTAAGTCAAGCACTGCAGGCAAAAATGTTATGTAGTTGACATCTTGAGGTAGTCAGAGGTTTGCAATTGTGCAAATGGAGGCCAAAAGCAATCAGGTTGCCAACTTGAAATTCACCTCTGTTCTCAATCACTGAAGTAATTTTATGATACTGCAGAAAACCCACGTATTACTAAATCACCAAAACTTCGATCCACTTAACGTTTATCAATGAATAGAACTGAAAGAAGTATTTTTCTATAATCAGATAGACTGACCTTAATATGCACACATACCTAACACAACCAGAAAAATATTAGGTTGGCCAAAAAGTCTATTTAGTTTTTTCTGTAAAGTAAAGGACACATTTTTCATTTTCACCAATAACTTTATTGATTTGGATATCTTGAGTATGTCAGCTCTCTCCCGCTATTGGCTTCTAGTGGGTAGAGGCCAGGAGTGCTGCTAAAATCTTCCAATGCATAACACAGCCCCACAGCAAATAATTATTTGGCCAAAATATCAATAGTACCAAGAAACTTTGCAAGTCACTTTTAACACATCCAGACACAGCACCTTCACCATACACTGCATAAATCTTTTCTTTTGCATTTTAGTTGCATTTTTACCTCTCTTGAAATAATAAAGTGTAATATGCCAAAAATGTTACATATTTTCTCCCATCTTCAGTATTAAAATGGCTGCAAAAAAGTCACCAATTTTGATGTTTTTTTAAATGTATGCTGATATGACAGCTGTCACAATACAATTTAACAAAATTGTTTCAAATGAATTTAAAGGCAACTAAGCACTACTAGAGCCATCGTACAGAAAAAAACTAAATGAATTTTTTGGCCAACCTAATACAAGCCTGTACAGGTAATCTTCAAATATCAGGATGACAGATTTCATAAGAGGCATAAACAGACAAACATATATACAAGTAAGAGATACTATCCTCTCATTCTTCATTTCTTTTTTAAATTTCATGTGAACCTTTCACTTAACAGAGTAAAAATATCTACATTCCCACGCCATTTAAATATATTCAAGCAAAGCTCCTGGGAAGGTTTCCAGAGAGTTAGGTTCCTTTAAAAATGGCCATGCATTAAATAAAGCTTTGTCTGCCAAAAGTAAAAGAGTAACTGATATGGTATCTGTATGTTCACTTGCACGAGGTTCCTGTAGCTCAAAAGCATTACTCAAAGACAAACAACAAATCAGATTACAGCTCTGGAGACTCATACTCTGCCTCTTCCAGCAACCCTGCCAGCTCACACATTAGTGAGGGCCAACCACCTGCTTCCTGAGGAATTTGTAATCTACCTTCTCCATTAGGTCCCCAAAGGGTCTCCTACTTTACACACGTGCCCCCCTTCATTCATTCCACCGCATTCACCTTTCATCTAGAAGAGATTCTTTAATGATAAGTGTGCAAGGGTTCACTTTAAAGGCACAACCAAAAAGAAAAGCCTTCAGCATTATATTTTATAATGAAACAAAAACTCTAATTCTGAGAGTCTCCTGAACTGGAACTAAAAGCCATTGCAGGAAGAGATCCATTGCTGGGTACCTGGCCCATTTTCACATTACCTGCTTCAGTGTACTTCAATCCCACTTTTTCTTCTGTGTCCTTTGTCTTTGGGGGTGGCCAGACAGCCTGGAGTCTGCCAGGAGTCCTGTCGTCCTGCTCAGTGGGGCTATGGTCAGGCTGTTTAAAAAGTGGGCAAAGAAAAGAGTAAGTTATATGAAATAGGGTGAAAGCCAATTTTCCCCAAAAATGAACATACTAACTCTAAAATTAATAAAAAGTAACATTAATGGCCAGTTGTACATTGTGCTCAATGATCCTTTCCCAGAAATGTGATCGATGGAAGTGAGAATTAAAAACACCTCCAGGCCATTGGCATGTAATTAATGCATAGCATGGTAACTAGAGTCAATAATATTGTATTTTGAATTTGAAAGTTATTAAGAAAGTAAATTTTCAATGTCCTCATTACAAGGAAAGATATTTGTAACTCTGTGTGGGGATAGAAGGTAAAGAGCCTTACTGTGGTAATTGTTTTGCAATACATACAAATATAGAATCACGCTGCACACCTGACACTAATACAATGTTGTATGTAGATTATACTTCAATTAAAAAAAAAAAAAACCTCAAGGCCAAGTATTACACAACCCTTGATAGATGATTTTTATCAGGTAACTATTTAAAAACTCACAAATATACTTTGAGCTGAAGCTATACATAGAAATGTATTATGATCAGGTGCATTTATAGGAAAGTTCATGATTATTCATGATATAATGACTATCTATGCATTTTCCATGAACATTAGCTGTAGGCCAAGACACACTTCCTTGAGTACTCCACATTGCTATTTCAAGTCTCTTTTTCTTTCCTGTTAAAATAATAATAATGAAATGGCTTTCAAACTCAAGCTATTTTTACCAGTTGATTTTTACAACTATGCAAGTGTTACATTGTGTTTAGCTTTTAACTACAACTTGAAATAATTTTTCCAAAGTCTTTTAAATTTTTAGCATTTGAACTGATCAAATACATAAGATGGAATAATTGCATTCTGAGTTGACAAAAACCAAGAAATTCTTTTTGTCCTTAGGGACCTTTAAATCTACTGGATAGGTAGTCTGTATAAATTACCAAATTAATTTTGTTTTAATAATGCTTTTATTTATTAGATAGTTACCATACAGGAACTTCATTTAAGCTTCGCAACCACCACATAAAATGAGGGTTGTTTGTTTATTTTCTTCCTGAGGAGATTGAGGCTCAGAGATAATCAAGGTCACCCAGACAGTAAATGGCACTGTTAGAATTAAAATTCAGGTCTCATTTTAAATCCAGTCTTCAATCAGAATGCCTTATAGCCAACAGGGAACATTTGAATTACATCACAAACAAGTATTCTGTCCTCCAAATGGCAGGCATATAAAAGAAAAATACTTTTCACCGCGGTACATAATTAAGGGGTGAGGAAATCTGGGCTATGTTTCCATATTGCATCGCCTCCTCATGCTGCCCACTTTTTGTGAGAACATTTACTATTAATGTTTCAACTTGGACTGACAGGTTCCCTTTCCTGCCACACATATTTACATATATCTCTCTCTTATAAAATCCCAAAAAACATAAGGAAGAAAGAAAACACTTCTGTCCAACTTCATACTTCTTACAAGGGCAATTTCAATATAATCATCTTTCACCTAAAAGACAGTCATTAACAATAGGTGACAGGATTCACTTTGACAGGAAACCTCAAAAGAAATACAGCATCACATTTCATGACAAAATGCAAAACCCAATTCTACATACGCTTTTGGAATCAGAGGGGCCGTCCGCTGGCCTCGACTTGGAACGTTCAAACACGGCTCTTAGCGACTCCTTCTCGTGCCTCATCTTGCGCTTGAGAGCTTCGAGCTCAGAGGTGTCAGCAGTGGTCCCTTTTTTGGGGGGACGGATGAATAAGGCTTTAAAGGCCTCCAGGGCGGTTTCTGGTGGCTTTGGCTTGGCCTCTCCGCCCTGGGCTGGGGCTTCCCTGGGGCCGCTCTGGCTCTCCTGGGCAGCACCGCAGCCCATGTCTTCTGCCCGCGGCGGCTCAGGGTCTTCTGCCTTCAGTTCGGCTCTGGGCATGTCAATGCTGAGTAGCTGGGAGAGCTGCTCCAGGAGAGTGGGAGTGGCCTTCAGATCACTGGTTTTCTCCCCAATCTTCTTCACCGTCTGTGGCCCTGCCTGTGCTAAAGACTTGTGAACGGGCTGGGTCAATTTGAGCAAAGCGAGGTCCCCATCCTTTGGTTTAATTTCTGTGATGGTCTCCCCTCCCTCGGCTGGAGCTCCCTTTTTCAGCACACGAAGCCCACTGAAAAAAGCTGGAAGCTGGAATGACTTCTCTCCGGGGACTTCTTTTTTAGAAGAGCTGTTCTCAGTGACACTGACACTCAAGTTCTGGTCTGTTACCACAGGTAGGACTTGGGCGCCGCCTTCTCCCGCTTGTACTTGGTTGGGGCTGTGCTCCATCTGAGGACCACCATCACCTGGTTCCACCTTGCTACATTTCTCAGGGGGCATCCCTTGAGGAGCTTCTGCACCCAGCTCTGCATCATCCCTTTCCCTAGTGGCAATATTTTCCCTACAATCTCCTGGCTTTTCTTTGGGCTCCTCAGATGGCTTAGATAAAACAAGACTAGGGGACTTTGGGCCATTGCTGCTGCTTCCCTCTTCTGGCTCCTGCCCACCATCATCAGAGTCAGAATCACTGGTGGTGTTCACGAGGGTCCCACGAACCAAAAGGACATCGTCTGTGCTCAAAGCAGTGAGTGGAAGAAGCTCTTGGCCAGGGAGAGAAATCCCTGCCTCTGCTTTCCTCTGACTTCCCTCTGACTCGACTTTTCTGTGACTTCCCTCAGACTCCATCTCTGTCTCCACCCTCGCAGGCTCCCCTTCATTTCTGAGGCCAGGTGGAGCCCGAGCCTCTGCCTCCTGCTGATCCGAACCATGGCTGGGGTCATCCTGCTGAGGGGTGGGATCCACCACTACACTGTGGAATGCTTTCAGCACCACATCTTCCTCTTCGGGCTTCACAGATTCCAACTTACTCGTAAAACCAAACAGGGATTTCATGGAGAACTTGCTCAGGATCGACTGAGCCAAGTCAGGTCCAGCTTCAGATTTGTCTGGTTCCGAGACATCACTGCCATTCACAGAGTTACCACCGTCCTCCATGTCTCAGAGCAATGCCCTCAGTGGAAGTTCTGACTTGTGTTACCTTCCCCTGCTCTCAGTTTATCCACTCCATCAGCTCTTAACTTACAGGACAGAGAGCAACAGGAGCCGGCAGCCAGGCTCCCCGGCCGAAGAGCAAGCACACTTGGTCTCCTTCAGGTCAGTCACCAGCGTGCTCTCCTTCCGGTTTGTGCGAGGTGGTGCGTCCAGGGCAACTGCAAAAAGTCCGCGGAGTTTTGTGCCCAGAGGCAGCGAGGCTGCGCACCTTACTACACACGGACCGGGGACGCTGCTCCTCTGGGACTTCCGTATTTATTCCCATGGACAAAAGGCTTTTTGTCGTAAGGAAAGTCAGCCTGTCCCAGTCATCCCAGCCCAGACTTCACCACAGCTCCGCCCCAGTGCCTGTCTTTCTCCTGGTTGCTTTCAACTTCCTCATTGGTGAGCAAGAGAGGCTCCAGAAGTGCTGAGCCGGCAAGCTGATCCTAACAGCCCTCCACCACCCCCAGAGCAGCCCAAGAAATTCAAAAGTGAATCAGCAGAAAATGACTGAAATACTTCTTACGGGCCCTGCTTTGCCATCTAAATTATAGTCAGAAGCCTGGGTCATCTAGGCCAAAAAAAACTAGCAGGGCACACAGATCAACAGTCACTCACAAAGCCCAAAAGCAAAGAAAAAAAGTACTGAAAGAAATAGATGATCTCAAAATGCCTGGAACTCAAAAGCAGCTAACTTGCTGCCCTTGAAGTGTTTTTTTCTTTTTTTTTTTCTTTTTCTTTCTTTCTTTCTTTCTTTTTTTTTTTTTTTTTTTTTTTTTTGTTAAGTGCTTTCTTCCGCTTCCCTGCAGGTTTCATCTGGAATGCAGATTTTAGCTGCCGAACCAAGGAAAACCAACAGGACTGGTTTCAGATTACTGCTGTTTTAGCTCTGCCCTGGTGTCTCGTGCTCCACAAACAGGTACTTAGGCAAGCACGCCCACCACGCCCAGCGTCCACCAGCCTTAGGGTGGCAGAGCAAACAGCCCCAGCCCTTGGGAATGATTACCCTCCGCACTCCCTGCCAACCTCGGGCTTCTTCAGTAGCTCTGACTTCCTGGCTTTTTTAGGAATCCTGGAAGCCAAAGGGCACCTCTCTCTGCTTCAGTGATCCAACCAACTAAATGAAACCTGGCAATGGTACAAGGTAACACACAACCTGCCTTGTTAGGCAAGGTAATTCATCAAAGGTCCCTAAAGAGCCACGTTCCCCTAAGGGACAAAACATCTGAAAGGTCTCTATCAGTCGAGTCTCTATCACAGACCCAATTTGCCTAAAACAAAAACAGGACAGACAAAACCACCACCCAACATCAGCTGAAAGTAGTTCCCAGTACTCTGTTTATATGCTGGGAACCTGGCAACTGAGGTCGTGGAAAAATTGCAGCCCTGTTTCCCAGCTGCATAGTTGCCTCTTGGGACAGCTTCCTGTCGTACCTGAAGGTCTCAGTGTTTCTCTTTCAAATCCTGTCCAGTCAGCAGGCATTTCCTGACCACCTGGGATGGATAAGGCACTGCGCTGGATCAGGAAAGTCAAGTGGGCTTAATAGTAATCGTGGCTTAATAGTAGTCACCGGCTTTCTTTGGGCAACACTGCAAGAAGATTGAGCCTAAGTGTTACATGCAAACAGCAATTTATTCTGCAAAATAAGTTGTTGCCACAAGCAAAAGGACAGTCTTGCCTTTTCTGTAGCAGGAAATGGCTGTGGGTCCCACACTGATAACTTGTATTATGTTCCCCACTAAATATTAATACTGAGAAATTCTGATTGCAATAACACATTTCTAGCAATGTATCCAAAAGGAACCCTGGCACAAAAAGGGTGCATAATATATTCCATCAGTCCCTATGGGAAGGTTAAGAGTGTGCTTCCTAATCCCTGATTTGACCTTCTGTCTAAATAGATATTGCTACTGATCCTAATATA